AACTGACAGAAAAGCAGAGGAGGAAAATGAAGCAATGTAATGGAAAACAAAGAGTGAGGCTGCTCTACCACAGGCGAGTGGTGAAGGAGAGCTGGAAGTCTGGAGTGTGCTTGTCTGCATACAGGGTAGGCTGAACTCTTGGGGTGGGTTATGCCTTGCATAAACACCCATGACTTATCCAAATGAATGGAGTGGCCCCAGCAGCTGAGCCACCATCCCAACTCTCTGTAATTAGCATGGGAACCTATTAATTTTTCCACTCTACTGGGAAAATAGATGAGTTCGGGTCCCTCCAACTACGAGGCAAATTCCTGTATAAAGTGCAGCATATTTTCTGAGCTTTCTCAGCTCCAAAATGGGATCTCAGAGGAAGGGCAGTGCTGTGGCCCACCTTGCTCCACATTACCTGCCCTCACATGTGTCCTGGTAGCCACAGTGATCACTCACATTGAGAACTAACCCAGCTCAGGGTCTTTCTCTGTTATCCATGGAACAAAATTAGTATAAGGGCTTCCGCATTTGACTGGGATTGAGGCAGGGAACTGTCAGAGCTAAAAGTGGTTTAAGTCTTTATTTACACAGAACCACAGGGTAAGAGCACCCTGAACTCATCTACCAGCACACTGCTGCAACAGCCGGAGGGGCAGAGACTCACATGGGTGACAAGGACGGGGGGGACAGGCACTGCCTGCCATGTGCTTGCCAGAACAGACCCATCACACACAGCTGCCTTGCCTGCTTTCTCAGTCATATGGGAAAGGGGAAACTCTGCATGTACCCTTTTAAGAAAGACTTTTCATTTGGTTTTTCTGATACTACCCCGACCAGGATAAGTCATGCCTCACTTAACTCTAACATGGCAACAATGTTCAGCACAGAAGTCACAGGAAAGGTGTGTCTGCACATACAAACCACAGCCTCTCTCCTAAGGCATCTCAGATCACTGCTCAGTGGCTCATATTGATTTTTCCAGACAATTCTACCTCCATTCAAATCCTAGCTACTGACCACAATAACACTGAATGGGATGTAGCTCAAAGACTCTCCTATCCTGGGCCTTTCTTCTGGAGTACTGGAGCCAGGAATGAGAGCAGAGTATGAGTATCTGATCCTACATAGTGTTGTGCCACACAGCTCTGTCTCTAAACTAGACTTAACAGCTCTGCTGGCACTGGCCAACAGACTAGTGACCAGTTACCATGATACTCCCCCAGAACATTGGCTGCAAAGAGCAGGAGGACTCTGCTCCTGAGTCTATGACAAATATCTGAGTGAATGCAATACACCCTGCAGACACCTCCACGACGGTGGTGAAACCTGGGTGGAAATTCTGGGCAGAGGTGAAGGGCAAGATGTGCCTCACTGAGAAGAGTTTGGGCAACGAATTCCCTGGCAGAATTTGGTGGATTTCAGACCAGACCCAAGAGCACAGCTCCTTTCCATGAAGAAGGAAAAATACCTGTGAATGAGGCATGGCTTTCGCAGCACAGGAGAGCAAGGTTTCTCCCACACCTTACCCGTGGAAGAGCAGGGTTTCTGAGTGAGTGTTGGGCTAACCACACCCAGGAGAGCTTCCACAGGGAATACTGATGAGGTTGAACTGACAGGAGAGGAGAGCAGGCCAGCAGAAAAGGAAGAAAGCGGGCGGGGAGGGTGTGACGGGTGTGACAGGCTCCTTAGAGTAGGAGTGTAATTGGGCTCCTCTGCAGACTGAGTGGGTTGAGCCCTGAGGGACAGATTGTATCTCACACACAATTCCCATACCTTGCAAAAACCTGCAGGATGGAAAGGAACTTCTGTCCCTGCTCTAGAAAACAAGTGATACAGGCACAAAAGTTTGGACAATACGACCAGAGTTCATGGCTTTCACCTACAGGCTTCCAGTACAGAGCTTCCTATCCCACGCCTATGCCACAAAACACATTCCAATACCTTCTGGCAAAGACAAAGGCTGAAATAAAAAGGTCAAAAGCCCCAGCTGTGATGTATATACTAAGTTGGATGGAAATTTTGTTTTGTTAGACTCTCAGAACATCACAGGAGCTGGGTATGCACGGAGAGTGAAATATCTTTTTCATTTCTCCTGACAACAATCTCTGCTGACCTGGAAACACATCATCAAACAGGTGTCCAGAATAAAGAAGAGTTTGTGGTTTGTTTTTTTTACCTCCTACATACAAGATGCTTTAGTTGTGACGAAAATTACATGTTGGATAGATTTCAGCTCCCTGTTTTCCTCAGTTCTTAGTTAGCCCATGAGCATCCTCTTCCCTAGTGACATTTATTTGGCATGTCCTTTCCCTCTGAAGCTCAGCCTGGCACAAGCTCCCATGGCATTAGGTGCTACACATTATAATTCAACACAAGCAGGAAGCTCTTGACACTTGTTCATTCTCGATTGATATTTGCCAGGTAATTTCTCTACACAATCCTCCATCTATTGAATGTGTATCAGATGTCCTTCAGAATAACTTATTGTCTCGAATTTGAGCTGTTTTAATTGAAAAAATAATAGATTTCATGATATTTCTGTGAGAATACCTGAGATAAGGTTACAGACTGAGATTTCCTCTGGGGTTATCTCTAAGGCTCCAAAACTCAGCATCTGGGTACCTTATTCTATCTCTGTGCCATTGATTCTGTGCTTCCTGGCTTTTGTCTACCTGCAATAATCCCTTGACAGCAGAGCTGGAAACAGCTTCTTGTCACTACTCAATGATTCTGTCTTAAGACAGGCACTGGAACTCAGCAGAAGGTGGATTTTATTCCTGTTGAAAACAAACAAACCCCTCTCCTGTAATAGTTTTCCTAGATGTGTCCACCCCCACCTGCCTTTCTTTTCTAGCAGAAAAGGAAGTTCCCAAGTGATTTATCTTTTGCTTTTCAAGCAAAAAGTTGATACATTTTTTCCAGCTGTCAAAAAAAGAGTAATTGTCAAGCAACTATTCTTATTTAACTAGAAAAGCAGAGGAAACTGGCTGTTTGATGTCCTGGTAACATTCTCCTCTATCCCCTCAGGATTCTTAGATGATCTCTGAACATCTGGATCACAAGAATTACACCCAAACCATTATTTCCAGCATAAAAACCTCTCTTGCAATAGAGAGTTCCTATCATCCACTTCTAAGAGAGACAGACACCTACTCACATACTTAGTGAGACTTGTACCAAAATAAAACTGATCTACAGAGGAAAAGGGAACTAATCCAAAGATACTGCCTAGTCCTTCCCTTTCCTGCAAAGCACAACTGATGGAGCTACTTGCTATTCCTAAGATTATTCCTGCTAATCCATTAATGCAGAGATGTGACCATGCAGAGCAAAAATGTTCCAAATAAATATATATAAACTAATAACCATGCCAAATAAAGGAATAAATATTTCCTCATCCAGCTGGCTCTCTTGACATCCATGTCATCAGGTTTATCAGGGACAGGAAGTACAACTTGGAGCAGTGTGGGAGGACTGCCATCTCCACACTTGGCAAAATCTGGGGTTTTCACAAAGTACAGCATGTCCCATCTTGCCCACTCCAACTAGTTCAAGGGAATTTGGGAGAACCTGAAACGTGTAACAAGTCTAAAGAGTCTTTTGCTGACAGCAGATGGGCTTGGGGTTAAAAAAATGACTCTAACACATCAAGAATGTCCTTCTCCATTAAAGAATTCCTATGATACCTTCAGAAGGTCACTTGCTCTGCCTTTCCATCCCGGTCCACAAAAGGAGGGACACAAACCTGCACCCAGATTAGGCTGCAAGTTCTCTGGGACAAGGGTTATCCTAGTTGTATGCCTAACATTTGTCACAATATGGCCTTTTCTCACACACCACACAGACTTTTTAAGCAGAGAATGACACCTGTCACTGACCAGGTCAAACATTTCCCATGTGCACACATGACATCAGGAGCAGATCCCTCAGGACCACATCGTACACATCTGAAAGCTGTAAACCTTGGAAGCCAACTGCTTGTCCTCTCTGCTGCCAGACTCTGCCTCCTCTCCTCTCTGCCCCAAACACAGAAACCCAACATTACCCATGCTGTGCTCTTGTGCAGTCAATGATGCCCTGATGTGGGTCATTCATGGTGGTGTTGCAAATCTTTTACTACAGTAATTTTTGAGACCCTATGGTGGGGCTTGTGCTGGGCAACTATGGCTCCCTTCCAACCCAAACCGTTCTGTGACTCTGTCATTTGATCCAACTCAAAATTAACACTGTGGAAGGGAAAAAAGGCTTCCAGCTGGACAAACTCCTTGCCCTGCTTTACTTTATAACTTCATGAACAAACATGCCCTGGGCTGGGACACGCCGGTCCTGATGGCAATAAGGCCTCACTAACCAGTGGAAGTGTTTCAGAGCAGATTCAAGTGCATCCCTGCCCCAACATGCACACAGGTTCTCCTGACACAAGAAGCAAATCTGTAAGTGAGAACCAGCTTGTGCAAACACTTCACTCATTTGACCCCAAACAACTACTCACCCACCCAAAGAGCTGCTATTTTTATTAGAAAGGGCTCACATACACCACCAGCTACCAGTCTCCAGCTGAGCTTTGCAGCAAGATGCTTAAATATGCACATTTTGCCTGTAGCACACACAAAGTAAAACCTTTCATGTTGACCAATCTCATGTTTCTTACCCCACCTCCATAATCACACATGAAGCCTCTGACCTCACTCAATTTACTGCCCTCTTCTCCCTCAATTTCTCCTGTAAGTTTATATTCCTGTCTACAACAGTAGTATCTGAGTAAATCTCAATGAGACAGTTCTTTAAAGTTGTTTTCTAATTATCAAGCTAATTTGAAAAAAACATGAGCAGAAAGAACCTCAGAGGAACACACACATTTTATTTACAGCATTCTGCATCCCAGGAAATCTCCACTGGAAACTATAAGGAACCAAATTTGTAAAAGTAACAAAACACATCAAATGAACACATCAGTCACTGAAATGAGAACTAAACCCCACAGACATAAAAACAAACCAGTTACTTACAGTTTTGCTGTGGTTCTGGAGGGAATTTGAGACGGATAATGGCCAAGATTATGAAAACAACCACAGGCCAGGAAATTAAAACAAACGACCATACCTATAAAACAGCAATGAAAATATATGGGTTACGTTTGTCGTGCTGATGTGTCCCAGAGCCCGTCTGGAATGTACAAGTAGTGCCCTAAATGAGTTATAGGTGCATTGTAAATCACACCTGTCTCAGTATGCATACAATTAAAGCCCAAGCATTATCTATGCAGGAAGAAAAACTACCTCAGATTTTGAGAGCAAATAACAAGGCTGAAAACAACACAAGGCTTCCTGTCTTTCAGTTTGGCTGATAATTACGGGGGACAGTGTTTATCCAGCTTGGAGACACTGCTATGGAATAGTAAAGGCATGCTGGGAAATATAGGACTTTTGGACACACCAATGGTGAGATAAAAGAGCTGAGGTGTGAAAGGCTGGTTTCACTTTTAGTGAAAGATGCTGCTCAAATAATAGGTAAATATGACTTTTATTTACTTATATCCCAGAGTTTGACTGTTTGATAAGTCTACAACATTTCTTCCCAAAAAATTTCAGTGTTCTTCACAAATCATTGAGCCTCGTGGTGGAGCTGAAGAAAGGATTTGGTCATTTACAAAATGTGGAGCCCGAGAACAGTGAAGGAAGGGGTTTATGGAGCTGTGCAACCAGTCAGCCACAGAAGTCACATCTGAACACCAATCACCAAGATCCCTCATATGAGCTTCTGACCCCAGCAACGCAAATCTCTGGCCCCTCTCCATTTCCAGATTGTGGCAGTCCAGATACAGGAGCTGAGATGAATCATGGAATGGTTTGGGTTGGAAGGGACCTTAAAGCCCATCTTGTTCCACCCCCTGCCATGGGCAGGGACACCTTCCACTAGACCAGGCTGCTCCAAGCCCTGTCCAATCTGGCCTTGGACACTTCCAGGGATGGGGCAGCCACAGCTTCTCTGGACAATCTGTGCCAGGGCCTCCCCACCCTCACAGGGAAGAGGGTGTTATAATCTTATGTTATATCTAACATAAGATGGAAGAGAAATTATGTAGAATTGGCCTAATAAGTTGAAAAACACATGAACATCTATAGAACTCTTGTGTTTAACATGAGGTTTGACAGTTTCAATGGATAAGAATTAAGAAAATACAGTCTGGTAATCATCTACTGTAGTAAACCAATCTAGGTAGGAGGCCCAAAATCTTAAAACTACAAGCCTTGGAGTTTAGTGAGCCAAGAAAATGCAATTATTCAAATAATCAACAGCTTCTGCACTAGCTGGCTACCTTGCTCCCATGCTTACTAGATCAGAGCTTTCCATCCATCAGCAGCTAAGCTCAAGCTACTCTGTGCTGCAAAATTGCTATGCCATCTTCATGCCAATTTTTGTAACTGCAAAGATGTCTTTCTTCAAAATAATCCCATTTTTCATCGTTGTGCTACTATTTTTTTCAGATCAGCACACATTACCCACAACTGTTTTTCCAAAGTAATTCCAAGCCCATAACCATGTTTTCATTTCCTGTAACACTTACTGGAACATAAAACCAAACAGACAGACAAACAAATCCTGCAGAGCAATTCAGCTTGAAGATGGTTGTTTTACAGCAAGTCCATCCCTATCAGCCCTGATGAGGTGACAGAGGCTTGAAAGCAGGAACAAATTCATGCCCCAAAATAGTCAACTGACAGACACCAAATCACAAGGCCCCTCCCCACACATCCCTTCACAGAGGGCACTCCTCTAATTTTAGCATTCAGCAGTATTTTAGCTTTTACAGACAGTTCCTGCCTTTCATATATACACTGCCAACTTGTAACAGGATCCATCACTGAAACTACCATCTATTTATAATTTTTTCTATCAGATGCTTTCCCTATAATCAGTCCCCAAACACGCAGTTTAACTGTGATTAATTCCTGTGCAAACAGTATCATTAACGCAGCCTCCTCGTTTAGAACCACACAGGCTAAAGGAAAATTATGGGGTAACAGCACAGAAACTGATATTAGTCAGAAGCTGCCTGAAGGAAGGGCCAGACATCTGTCACATTCTTGGGACAATGAATGAATACTGATAGTTTCTACTCAGGGAAATTGTGGTACGTCCCCATTTTGAGCTATAATGTTGCTTATAGTCCCCACTTTCCACACAGCTCTTCCCTCAGTATCTGTGTCCTTCGATTTAATTGGATTTAATAGTAGCTGGGCACATCAGTTGCAACATCACAGCATTCCCTCTGTCCCAGGCATTTCTAGCCAAAGACAACCACCCTGGCCAAATGGCTTGCAGGTGGAACGCTTTGACTCGAATGGAACCATAAACAACCTCAGTTTGGCTCTCAGGACATTAAGAACTGTGATGTCATTGCATAATCCCTTGGTTGGTGGATTATTTCACTGCTAAAAGTTGATTTAATCGCTCAGACCTTCGTTAGTATCTCTGGGTACAGGTACATAAAAATACAGTGTGGAGCAAAAGGTAGAAGTAAAATATGTTTTCCAGCCCTGGAGAGGCTGATGAACAGAGCAGGAGGGCACTGAGTCTGCAGGGGTGGGATGGGGCTGCCTGGTGTCAGACCATCCCTTGGCATTCCAGTCATTCCCAGAGAGGGCAGCCAACACCACTGCAGCAGCAGGAACCACCTTCACTCCTTATCAGAAATTGAAAAGCACAACAGAACACTTCCCTCCCTCCCTCCCTCCCTCCCAAAAAAAAGCTCTCCAACAGCCTGGTCTGTAAGCAAAGGCAGATTACACAGGTAAAAAACACGCAAGGAGGAGGACAGAAATCAGGATGTGCTTGGGAGCAGAGGTCTGGCTTTACCTCCTCACACCCTCTGCAGTCTGAGCAAGCTCCCTAATTTGGAGCAAGAGAGGGAAATGAAGGAGGGTTGCAGGGAATGGCTGCCATAAAATAGCCTGTAGTGGCCAGATTTTTATTTTAATTGACATTTCAGTTCTACAGAATTGATATTTCAACTCCACAGGAAACCAGAATTAAAGCAAGTGAGACTGGTCAAAGCACAAGTAAGGCTTAGGTTGGCATTTACTCTGAGCACACAAGAGCTCAGAGACCCAGACCTTCTGCTTTAATGAGGCTGTTACAATTTCTCTTGAGAAATTAGAAGTAATTTATTGAGATTCTTCTGCATCTCAGAAAAGGTATATTTTGCAGCAGTGAAGAATACTCAGGTATGCAGCACATCCATAGGAGTCAGAGGAACTCAGCACCTCTCCAAATTAGGCTCCACAACTGAGAGGGAGAACACAGTAGGTAAGAAGTGACCTTGCAGAAGCACATGGTCATACTGGGCCTTTCAGTCCATCCTCATATCACACCCTCCATGGCCACTTCTCTTCTGTCAGCATTTTCTGCACCTGCCAAGGCTTCCAGTCCACCAAGGCAAGTTTAAAACCCATCTTGTTTGGATTACTAGCAAGAGGACAGGTTGAGGTACAGGCCCGTGAACCTCAGGATGCTGTATTTACTGTGCAGCTGCACCAAAACCAGACTGGGACAAAACTACTGGGCAGCCTTTGCCTGGCCACACAAAGCCACCCAAAGGAACATGCACCTCCCTGATGCTGCTGCAGGTCAGATCACTCTCTGGACACTGGTGGCAATGTTTTGTCTTTTGAGAAGAAAGACCATTGGGGTGTTTGATTTGCAGCACCCTGGACTGCACTGGAAATCTGTCCTACCTGAATCTCTCAGAGCTACTTTTTCCTTTGTCCATCCTTTACAAATGGGTCTGTGTAAGGCCCCACGACCCCCACATCCCAGGGACTCCTTGGAGGCTGTACACCAACCATGGCATCTGCTCCAGAGGAGTGGGTACAGAACTGCAGCTGAACTCAGGCCTGCCCATGTGTTTGTGCATGGTTTTGTTTGCACAGAGGGAACAAGAGTGGCATCCACAGTACTCCATCTGGACTCCTGAGCCCTCTTGCATGAGCTCCAATGCAAGACCCAATTATTTTGGCCTAAAAAGACCCGCCTTCACTTCCATGCCATTCCCTTCCTTCCCTGTGCCTCTATCACCATGACCTTCCTCTCCTGCAGTGTCCCCCTTGCTCATCAGCTCCCACCATTCCCAGGTTCCCGCTCCTCTGTTCCCACACTCACCGGCTGCCTCTTGACACTCAGCCAGTTCTTCCAGAGCAGGATCCTCAGGTGCTGAGAGAGCGCAGCCATCCTGGGCTGAGCCAACCACGAGTGAACAGCTGCGTATTCTTCCTCCCCGGCTTAGGAGGCAAAAGTGGAGGCTCTAACCCACAGGGGCATCCAGTGTCCAATATCCAAGCCTCTGCCCCTTCCCCACAGCATAGCTCTGGAGCAGCTACTTCAGGCACCGCTGGCTGCTGCAGTCCCAGTGAGCGTAGCTCTCGTCCTCCCAGCAATAGCTCCCAGCAAATTCAACAGGTTCTTCCTCTGGCGGCAGCGGGCGGGCGCAGCAGCCTGCCTCCACTTGTGGGAATTACAACAGCCAGCCTCTCCTGGATGCTCCCTGCTCCAGCCCTCACCGATAAAATGGACAGCATTCCAAAAAGATGCTTCTGCTCAAACAAAAGGTGATGCATGCCTCCTCCTCCCCATGATGAAACCACCTGTCTGCCCACACACTGCTCCTGCTGGAGAGGTGTCAGCAGCAGCAGAGTTCGGCTGCTCGCCAGGCCAGTCTGACTTCCCCAGGTTCTCAGGGAATGCCTGGGAAGAAAGTATCCACACCATGTATCTTCCTGGCATTGCTGATTTGGAATTAGTTGTTTGCTTTTTTTTTTTTAATTAAATCTACCCATCCAAGGAAATTAAATGAAAGCGCTGAAAAACATATATAAATGAAAAGCTCAGGGACTGATCTAATTGCTCAGCTTCCTGTATGTTCCCTTTCCTCCAGGAGATCAGTCCTGGGGCTCTCAGTGACTGAATTCAAGGCAGCATACCCAATCCACTGGGAATGGATCACACCCCACAAACATTTCAAGCACTAGTGTGGCTTGAACACTTGTTATTGAACTGATCATTGAATTTTCCAAGCTAGGGAAATCTAAAAACAACAGCAGACATGGAACAGAAAAGGCAGGTACAGAGGGAAGCAATGACAGCACAGAGACAGCTCATTGTACCAAGGAATAGCACAAATCTAAAATCCAGACTTGACTGATGGGCTCTGGTCATCCAGAAGAGCTGTGGTCCCTCTCAGAGAGGAGCACATACACTCAAGCTCCTGCTTGGTAACACTGAGATCCTCCACAGAGCACCTTGGCAAGCCAGGGAAGACATCACTGCTCTCAGCATATTCCATAAAAGATGAAAGACTGTTCTTGTACATGGTATTTCTTCCAACCACAAACTAACTTTATGCCTCAAAAACGAGTCCTTGCCAAACTCCACCCAGGGACAGAAGTAGAGGTGGCAGCAGAGGAGTTTTGATCTAAGGGTTGTTAAAAGCACCGAGTGAGAGGAAAAGAGAGAGAGGGGAAGATAGAGATGTGGTACTCAGTGAAGAGAAACAGCTTCTCCAGATTGGTGAAGAAGTACTTTAAAGCTGGGAATAGCAACAGATCCAGAGCAGTCCCTGCCCCACATACCTTCAGTCTAAATAGATCAGACATTCCAATGGTGGGAGTGAAGCTGGGGCTAAAATTAACCTAAAAGGCTTCCCTGGTATAGTTTTGATAGCAATGAGAAGAAACACAAATGTCTAACCTCCCAGCTTACATTCCTTTTTTTTTCCCCTACCAAATGTCCTCAGGAGAGAGAGAGGGATCTGGTTTGGGTCTGTGGATCAAGAACAAGCACTGCTCCTTGGGACACTGTTCTAGTTCAGCTCCATGTAAGAGGCACAGCCAGATTCACTGCATTTGGTCCAATCCATTTGCAAACTTTATTCACTTCCTCTCTGGGGCTGAAAAAAGAAATCCAAATATAGATAATTCTGCTCTGAGGGGGTAAGAGAGAAGAAATTTATAATTTCACCATTCACTGCCTTGCCAAGGTCTTTTAAGGCAAATGTCTGATTGCTTCTTTTTCGTATTCAGTCAAACAACTGTTTCAAAAGAACACTATGATTTGGATAATAATTTTCCCAAGCAAATGCACATCCTTACTTCCTTTGTGAACTGAGTCAACAAACATTCCCTTGGGAAGTACCCAAAGGATAATTTGTTCGAGTTCACCACTGTAAAATCAGAATAACTCAATGTCAGTTGGCTCTCAGAACACCTGCATTCAACTCCCTGAGCACCACAGCGTTCCGGTTCCAGAACACAAGATGAGAACTTTATTAAGCCATTGTACCTTTCTGCTTTTTAATTCCTTTACTGAATAATTCCTGCAGATGGCACAGGAGGCTGGGGACAAAGTGACCAGAGCAGATAGATGTCCCAGCGTGCCAATGTACATATAGCCAGAGGAGGAGAGGAAGGAAAGGCCAAATTCCTCATTCTCCTAAAAAGTCCTCAGTTGGTTTATTCCTCTGGTTAGAGAACTAGGGCTCTTCTGGGCTGAAGGGCAAACTGGTGGTTCAGATCACTGAGAAGAAGAGCAGCATCTGTTTCTGTGGCCACGAAGCAGGGGAAATTCTCAGGGGAGCTCTGAGCTGTGATTTCATGCAACGCAGGTCCCTAGAGCCGTGACCCATCCCCTGTGCTGCAGCAGTGACTACAGCTCACAACACCATGCAGGGGCTGCAGCTTCCAGGGCAGAAAGAATCTCACCATGCACCAAGAACTCACAACCTCTGAGGCCTTTCCTTGGGATGCTCTTTCAAGGAGAGGAGTTTTTACCTCAGTTACAAGGAGTGCACTCGTGCTTCCCAAGTATGCCAGTTACCTCTGTGAGAAATGAAAACTTAGGGAAGTGATGCAAGACAAAACTGGTAAGAGAAGAGGATAAAGTCCCTCTGAGTGAATGATCTGCTTGCAGGACATGTCCTTATGGGTCCTGACATGTCAAGGCTGGCAGCTGTGAGTGCCACAGGCAGCAGCAAGGGAGGGATGCAGGAACAGAGAACACTGCTGTGAAGGAGCAGGGTCAGCCAGGGGTATGGGGGGCTCTCTCCAGCCCTAACACACTGGGAAGATGAGAAGAAATGGCCAGCCTTTACAGTCAATATTTCACTAGTTGCTTGGCCAAAACAGCAGGTCCACACAGCACAAAGCCAACAGCACCATAAAATGCAAACAACTGTCTGCTCATTAATGCTCCTGGCTTAGCTTTGAAACACAAGGGGAGCTGGGGCAAACGTGAGAGGGCAAAACATTTACCTCCTTGAAGCGCCAGACGAAAAAACCTCTTCAGCTGGCTACCAGTAAAAAAACCCAAACCACAACACCAATCTTGCAGTAACTCAATGCTACAACTAACCCTCAGCAGATACTTCCAAGGCAGGCAGGCAAAAGGTGGCTGGGTGCCCCCAGGAGCCTGGGGGAGGAGAGATCACACCAGGAGCGAGCAGGGATCTCAGCCAGATGAACTGCCAGGCCAGAGAAACACAGGCAGGGCAGAACGAACCGAAGGAGATGCACAAGGGAGCAATGGGGTAACACAGTGACTCATAAGAGGCAGGACTCTGAACTGGGTACTTTCCCCTTGCAGAGCTTGCAGCGTCTTTAGTTACTGAACTGAGCTCAGGAGCAAGTCCAGACTGTGCAAGATGGGCTTTCCTCATGGCTTGTGTAAGCCAGTATTGACCAAATGCTTGACACACTCTCCTTAGGGATTGCAGAGATGCCTATGCATAGGCTTTAGCTGTGATCCCTTATTCACAATCCAAGCCAGGCCAAGGACTGCTGAGCAAGCAGCTTGCAGCCCCACACTGCTCTCTGCAAGCTGCAGGACACTCAGACTACTGTAGAGCAGACCTACCTGCTCAAAGGTAAGTGCACACTTACACAGCCTGTTAGGTGGCACCTTGCCAGTGTCACATGCAAGGAAGGCCCTACACAATACCAGCTGTCACCATTTCTACCAGAACTCTGCAAGAAAAGCCTCCATGCAATGAGTACAACTCATTTTCATGGCATAGCCCCATGAAAGGACAGGCCATCAAAACAAGCCCAGCTTTAGGATGTTCCACAACTAGAATGCGCAGAAATCAGAGAACCCTTTCACAGAAAGGGTTGTCAAGCATGGGAACAGGCTGCCCAAGGAAGTTGTGGAGTCATTACCCCTGGAAGTGTTAAAAAAACACGTGCATGTGGTACTTGAAGACATGATTCTGTGGTGAACACGGTGGTGCTGGGTTCACATTGGACTTGATGATCTTACAGGCCTTTTCCAACACTAACAATTCCATCACTCTAACATCACATGCCTTTGCAGCACTGAGGGGTTCCCCAGCACATACTCTCTGGTTTACTCCTAATTCCTTCCAAAGGCATGGCAGGAGCCTGGAAATGTAAACTCCTACACATCTCCTGGGTGCCTAATTTCAGGCACATGGACAAGACACCATTTTGGAAGAGATGCTCACTCAGCATTTAAAAGAAAAAAAAAATCAGAGCCCTCAGAAAAACTAAAATGGGCAGCAATATTTTTAGTCACTACAGAAACTGCTGGTGATGTGGCATCACCACAGTACCACTCTGCCACCAAACACATTTCCACAATTTATTGGTGATTCCGCCCACCACCCTTTAAAATGCATTTGCTCAACAGCCCCTCCTGGAAGCAGTTTTCCCTTCAGTGATCCATTACTGCCATGAATACAAGGATTTTGTCACACAGGGCCCACTCCGAAGAGTTCAAGGAGAACTGATTTTTGGCTCAAAGCCCTTGGATATTAACTCCTTTATTTCTACAGAGCAGCCTTGTTTCCAGGAACAAGCCCCCAAACCAAGTGAAGTTTTGGGATACTCTAATATTAGAGCAGTGAAGCACCAAAATTGAAATGTCTGAGCTTCTTGCAAATGAATTTAGAGGCACCGCAGGCTGAAACACTTGGGACAGGATTCTCAGATGTCAAAAACCTTCTGCAGAAGCAAATTTAGGGAAGGGCAAGGAAATGCAACTTTTGGTTCTAAAGCCACAGTGCCTCTGTTACCAGCCAGCCCTTCTCCCTTGCTCTCAAGGTCACCTTCAGCTACATCTGGTCCCAGCAAACCTCCAGGTCCATGAGTCATTTCCCACCACACCCAGCAGTGAGGGCTTTATTTGAGAGGCTCCAACACACACCTACCTTGCCACAGGTT